GGCCCGAAACGTCAGCCTCTCTGCTCCTATGATGCTGCTTGGCCTGCTGTGTTCATCCAGCCCTGCACCTTGTTCCCTATGACCAAGTCAGTTTTGTATCCAACTTGCCAACTTGCCATGGATCCCATGTGACTTAATCTTATGGGCCAGTGTGCTATGAGGGACCTTGTCAAATGCTTTAGTAGAGTCTATGTGGAAAGTATAATGACAGCACAAGACAAAGGTAGAGATCTGTGGCAGCCCACCTTCTGGGAAGAAGGTGACACCAGCAAAAGTGCTTTGTCACAAACCCCAATTGCTGAATGATGTTGGAGAAATGCAGGTTCTTTCTTACTTTTATCAAGATGTCTGGTTCCTTTTTGTTTTATTCAACAATGTGGGCATTACTGGCTGGGCCAGCATTTATTGCCTGTCCCTGATTGCAGTTGAGAGGTGATGTTGAGCTACTTTCTCAAACTGCAGTTGTCCATGTGCTGTAGGTAGACCCACAATGCTCTTAGAGAGAGAATTCCAGGATATTGACCATGCAACAGTGAAGGAATGGTGTGATATTTCCAGGTCAAGATGTTGAGTCGCTTGTGGGGAACTTGCAGTTGGTCGTGTCCCCATGTATTTGCTGCCCTTGTCCTTCTAGATGGAAGTGATTGGAGCTTGGAAGGTGCTGTCTAAGAGTCTTTTGTGAATTTCTGAGAATGCATCATGTTGATAGTACACACTTCTGCTACTGAACATTGGTGGTGAGGGAGTGAATGCTTGTACATGTTGTACCAGTCAAGTGAGCTGCTTTGTCTTGGATAGTGTAAAGCTTCTTTAGTGTTACTGGAGCTGCATCCATCCAGGCAAGTGGGGAGCATTCCATCACACTCCTGACTTGTGCTTTGTAAATGGTGAACAGGCTTTGGGGAGTCAGGAGGTCAGTTATTTGCTGGAGTATTCGTAGCCTCTGACCTGTTCTTGTAACCTCTCAAATTGTCTCGTCCAGTTGAGTTTTGGGTCAATGGTAACCCCAAGGATGTAAGTAGTGGAGGATTCAGTGATCGTAACACTACTGAACATCGAGGAGTGGTAGTTAGATTGCTTGTTATTGAAGATGATTATTGCCTGGCACAGGCGTTACTTGCCACTTGTCAGCCTAAGCCTGAATATTGTCCAGATCTTGTTGCACTTGAACCCAGACTGCTTCAGTATCTGAGGAGTTTCAAATGGTGCTGACCATTATGCAATCAATGGCAAATATCCCCATTTCTGATCGTATGATGAAGAGAAGGTCATGGATGAAGGAGCTGAAGATGGTTGGGCCTAGGACACTACCCCAAGGAACACTTGCAGAGATGGCCTGGAGGTGAGATGACTGACCTCCAACAACCATAACCATCTTCCTGTGTAGCAGATATGACTCTAATCAGTGAACATAAACTGTTATCATGGTGAATATTAAGTTTTGTGGTTAAAATTATCATGAAGGACTTAAGTTTCATGCATTATGATGTGTAACATTCAAAGGTATGAAAGTATAATCACAGTATCACCTATAGGTGCATGCTATTCTGTTGCATTTTCTCACTACTTTTAATATATAACAGACAGATGTACAGTAATCAGCAACTTAAAAAAGTTAGAAACTGGTGTCTAAAAGTAACCTCACTGAATGAAACTCTTACAGTTAATCTTCTTAAAAGAAATAGCCTGAATAATTTATGACTGTGTCCAAAATGTTTTATTAATGGAAAAGGGGATTTCTTATAACAGCAACTTTTGTTAAGGGCAAGATTTTTAAAAAAATCCTTTTATAACTTTCTGGCTATTACAAAACCATTTTGACAAAACTTAATATGTATTCATGAATTGCATTCTGAATTTGTTCTGAGTGATAATCCTGTATGGTGTCTTGATGTTTCATACAAGCTTCTCGGTTAACAACACTACAAACACACATTAGGAAAATAAATTGTATATGATTCTCATGTCATGAATATAACTGAACTTGTGTTTATACTTCCTTTATTATGTGATCTACTTTTCATTTCATAATGACATATTCCCTCAGAAAGTAAACTTACGAGGAACCCCTGAAATGGCAAGGAAAAAGAACATTGAAGGTAGGCAGTAGGTCTTGAACCAATTTATTCTGTTTCATCTATGATGAAGTGATTGTATTTCACTTGGAACAAAAACAAAAAGGATTTATGAACAGATACCAATTGAATTTTTTTATTAAAAGTGTAACATTTACAAGGACTTTGCCAGGATTGGAGGGTTTGAGATATAGGCAGAGGCTGGATAGGCCAGGGCTATTTTCCCTGGAGCATCGGAGGTTGAGAGGTGATCGTAGAGGTTTATAAAATCATGAGGGGCACGGATAGGGTAAACAGGCAAAGACATTTTCCCAAGGTAGGGGAGTCTAAAACTAGAGGGCATAGGTTTTAGGTGAGAGGTAAAAGATATAAAACGGACCTGAGGGGCAACTTTTTCACACAGAGTGTATAGAAGTGGTGGATGCTGATACAATTGCAACATTTAAAGGCCATCTGGATTGGGCATGAATAGGAAGCATTTCGAGGGATATAGGCCAAATGCTGGCAAAAAGAACTAGATTAATTTAGGATATCTGGTCGGCGTGGACGTATTGGATCGATGGGTCTGTTTCTGTGTTGTACAACTCCATGACTCTATTACATATGCTGGAAATCTGCAAAAAAGAGGTGCACAAAACTTGATATTAAAGGCCAGGAACAAGCACAGGGTGTTGTTTTCAGCAAACCCAAACCATTCCCAAAGCAATTTTGCTTAACTGGGTGCAGGATGCTTGTGAATGACGGATCCGTCTGCAGTCAGGCACAGGTAAATCTGGCAGAGTTTGCTATTCAGGCTCTCCACATGGATGAAGTGCAGCCCACCCACCACCATTTCAATAAGGTAGTGAAATGACGTTTTTAAGTAGCCATTAATTGATTTCTGGAAAGGAAGGTTGCCTTTCACCTTTCCCTTCCTGAGCTCGATCATGGGGGAGCCACAAATGGAGACACCCATGCTGCACCCTCCAGCCCGATCAAATGAACACCCACCTCCAGAACTGATTGGGAATAAGGTAGGAGGAGGCTGGTGTGGGAGCATTAAATTACATTCCATTGAACATTTCAAGTCAATGAAATTCCAGGTCGGGCTCCATCTGAATCATACTTTCACCAGAATCCTGGTGAATTGTATAACTAAGCCTTTAGGTAGGGCTCTAAACTAAATTGTGGGGATGTGGATTCAGTTACATGAAAAATTATGAAAAAAATGTTAAAACGAGGAGGGCTCAGCAGAGGTTATTAAAGTTTCCGAGCAAGTAAAAGGACAGAATAAGGAAAAAGTCAGGAATCTGACTTCAGGAACAGCAGATAAGGGGACAACTATTCGAAGGGGAGCAGTCAATACAGGACTGTAAGTGTTGTATTACAAAACAAGGTAAATGAGCTTGTAGCGCAGAATGAAATTGGCAGGTACTGTGTAGGTATCACAGAGATGTAGCTGCAAGAGGATCACAGCTGGGAACTAAATATTCAAGGATACACGTCCTATCAAAAGGACAGGCAGATGAGCAGAGTGGTCAGACTTGCCTTGTTAGTAAGAAATTAAATTAAATCGAAAGTAAGAAGTGATACAGAGTCGGTAAGCATAGAATCTGTTTGGGTAGAGTTGAGGAACCACAAAGTGAAAAAGACCCTGATGGGAGTTGCGTATAGGTCTCCTAGCAGTACTCAGTATGTTAGGAAGAAAACAAATCAGGAGCTAGAAAAGCCCTGTAAGAAAGGCTTTGTGATAATCATAGGTGTTTTCCAATATGCAGCTGGGGTGGTAAAATCAGGTTGGAAGTGGATCTCAAGGAAAGGAATTCATGGAATGTCTGAATTTTTTTACAGCCACCTGTGGTAGCCACTAGGGAACAGACAATTCTGGATTTGGTGATGTGTAATGAGGTAGATTTGATTAGGGAGCTTAGAGTGAAATAAGACCCGGGGGGCTGTGACCATTATAATAGAATTCGTCCTGCAGTTTGAGAGGGAGAAGTTAAAATCAAATATACTACAATTGAGTAAAGATAATTACAAAGACATGAATGATGAGCTGGCCATAGTTGATCGGAAGGGGAGCCCAGTAGGGCAGAGCAACAATGGCAGGATTTTCTGGGGGCGACAGCACAGTAGAAGTTCATCCCAAGACAGAAGAGACATACTAAGAGGAGGACGAGGCAACCATAGCTGACAAGAGAAGTCAGAGACAGCATAAAAATAAATGAGAAAGCATACAGTGTGGTGAAGATTAGTGGGAAGCTAGAGGATTGGGAAGCCTTTTAAAAACCAGCAGAATGATAACCAAAAAAAGCAATAAGGGGCTTAGGAGTTGAAATATGAGAGTAATCTAGCTAGTAATATAAAAGAAGATTGTAAAAGTTTCTTTTAGGCCATCTAAAAGATGAGAGAGGTAACAGTGGAAATTGGACCACTGGAACATGAGACTGGAGAAGTATTAATGGGGAACAAAGAAATAACGGAGAATCCGAGTAAGTACTTTGCATTAGTTTTCAGAGTGGAAGATGCCACCAGATCACCAGATCTTCAAGAAAGCCAGCGGGCAGAGGTAAAAGTAGCGGCCATTGCTAAAGAGAAGGAGATGGGGAAACTGAAATGTTTGAATGTGGATAAATCACTCAGACCAGATGGACTATATCCCAGAGTTCTGAGGGGGATAGCTGAGGAGATTGTGGAGGCATTGGTGGTGATCTTTCAGGAAACATTGGAGTCAGAGAGTGTCCCAGAGGATGGAAAATGGCTAATGTACTACCCCATTTTAAGAAGGGAGGGAGGCAGAAGACAGGAACTATGGGCTGATTAGCCACACTTTGGGTGGTAAAATTTTAGAGTCCGTTATTATGAAGGATGAGATTGCGAAGTATTTGGAAGTCCATGGTAAAATAGGGCTGAGTCAGTATGGATTTCATAGAATCGTGAATCACACAATCCCTATAGTTTGGAAGCAGGCTAGTCAGCCCATCGAGTCCACACTGAATCTCTGAAGAGCATCCCACCCAGACCCATCCCCCCCGCCATCCCTGTAACCCTGTATTTCCCATGGCTAACACACCCAACCTACAAATCCATGGGCGCTACGGTCAATTTAGTATGGCCAGTCCACATAACCTGCACATGTTTGGACTGTGGAAGGAAACCTCAGCACCCAAAGGAAACCTACACAGACATGGGGAGAATGTGCAAATTCTACATAGACAGTCGCCTGAGGCTGGTTTCGAACCCAGGTCCCTGACACTGTGAGGTGGCAGTGTTAACCACTGAGTCACCGCACTGCCCCAGATTTGTCAAGGGTAGGCCATGCCTGACAAATCTGCTAGAACTCTTAGAGGAGATAACCAGTAAGTTAGGCAGAGGACATCCAGTAGATATGATCTGTTTCCAGAAGGCCTGTGACAAGGTGCCACACAGGAGGCTACTAAATAAGATAAGAGCCCATGTTGTATGGGGCAAGCTACTGTATTGGGTAGACTGGCAGAAGGCAAAGAATGGGGACGAAGGGGTCGTTTTCAGGACAGCAGCCTGGTGACTAGTGGAGTTTTGCAGGGGCCTATATTGGGACCACAGCTATTGACACTATACGTTAACAATCTGGGAAAAAGAACTGGGAGTATTGTTGCTAAGTTTGCAGATGACTCACAGATAGGTGGAGGGACAAGAAGTGTTGAAAAAGCAGGAAGCCTGCAGAAAGACTTGGACAGGCTTGGAGAGTGGGCACATAAGTGGCAGATAGAACACAATGTGGGACAGTGTGAGGTTATGAACTTTGGTAGGAAAAATAGAAGCATAGAATATTTTCTAAATGGGGAAAGATTTTGGAAATCTGAACACAGAGGGATTTATTAGAAAGTTGTAGAGTTATACGGCACAGAAACAGACCCTTTGGTCTAACTCATTCATGCAGACCAAGTTTCCCAAACTAAACTTGTCCAACTCAGTCATTGAGTCATACAGCACAGAAACAGACTCTTCAGGTCCAACCAGTCTATGCTGAACACACCCCAAATGAAATAAATCTCTCCTGCCTGCTCTGGGCCCATATCCCTCCAAACCTTTCCTATTCATGTACTTATCTAAGCGTCTTTTAAACATAGTAACTGTGCCTACATCCATCATTTCCTCAGGATGTTCATTCCACATGCGAACCACCCTCTGTGTAAAAAAAAAAAAGCTCCTTATGTTTCTTTAAAATTTCTGTCTTCTCACCTTAAAAATGGGCCTGCAATCTTGACTTATCCTGCCATTGGGAAAAGACACCTACCATTAACACTATCTATACCCTAAACCTCTGTACTGTCACCTCTCAACCTCATAAGCTCCAGTAAAAAAAATGTCCTGGTCTATCCAACCTTTCTTTATAACTCAAACTTCCCATACCAGCAATGTCCTGGTAAATCTCTTCTGAATCCTTGTAGCTTAATAATATCCTTCCTATAACAGGGCAATCGAAATTGGATACAGTACTACAGAAGAAGCCTCACCAAAGTCTTGTACAACCTCAACATGACTTCCTAACACCTATACTCAGAGGACTGAGCAATGAAGGCAAGCTTGCCAAACACCTTTTTAACCACCCTGTCTATATGATGCAAACTTCAAAGGCCCTACCATTAATTGTATAAGTCCTGCCCCTACTTGTTGTACCAAAATGCAATACCTCGTATTTATTCAAATTGAACTCCATCTTCCATTTTTCAGCCCATTGATCCATTTGATCAAATCCCTCTGTAATCTTAGAAAACCTTGTTCACTGTCTACTATGCCCTCAATTTTGGTGTCGTCTGCAAACTTACCAACCATGCCTTCTATATTCTCATCCAAATAATTTGTTTAAATGACAAACAAAAGAGAGCTCAGAACTGATCGCTATGGAACACTGCTGGTGACTGGCCACCAGTCTGAAAAGCATCTTTCTACCACCACTCACTGTTCTCCTTCTGTTAAGCCAATTATGTATCCAATTGAGAACTGCAGATGCTGGACGTCAGAGTTGATACAGTGTGGAGCTGGAGGAACAAAGTAGGTCA